TTACATGTTAGACGGCGGTTTGTTTATTTTTTTAACGTAGTATACATTAACCACGACGGTTTCTAGGTTATACGTGTCGTTATTCCTTCAATTAGGGACGTGGATAATTATCTGTATGTCGGTGCTTGTTTTGATCTTGACATGTAAGCGATTAGACAGAAGCTTAGTGCTCTAGTGCTTGATCTAGTAGGAGAATGTTTTATTCCTATTTAGATCGGTGCACTAGATACTAAGTTATATCAGGTTTGATAAGAGTTTAAATTAGGTTATACTTTGAGGCCCAAAACCTTGTGAAATAAAGAAGGTTTGAAGCCAATTAAAAGGGTCCCATTTCCTTTTGCGTGAATCGTTGCTTGAGGAGCTGAGAGTGTTAGTCAAGTCGGACCTTGGTGATGAATTGTCACGACCCGATTCGAAAATAAAGAACATTCCCGAATCATGGCATGAGTTATACCATAGTCATAAGAATAAAATCCTACAACCATGATATGATGAGAAATAGAGCCACAAAAAAAATACAAATTTACTTAACATTACAAAATCAGAGTCGTAGTAGCTTGTAATTAACTACACACTAAGATCTTTAACAAACGGTTGACTACTTACAAATATTAATTACACAAATCAACAATAAAAGCCCAGCAGCTTAGTTGAACCCGCTTCCTCAAACTTCTTCTTTACTCCTGCACAATCTATTAGGGTATGAGCATTCTAATGCCCAGTAGAGTACCGTCAAACCCCTCAAGGTCAGCTATCACAGTTAATCAAAGTGTCATGCATCAAACAACACAACATATACAAATTATGCAATCATACCAGATAAATAAATTTGCATATGCGGTGATGCCATGAACTCACTCCCTTCTAATCCCACTAATTCATATCCTAGGGCAACAAGCCTGCATGTCCCATACCATGCGTTTTACCACTGTGGCTCCGAATACCCTAAAATATGAACTAGCGCCCATCCGTCCCTTAACCAATTTTTCTTTTGTTTACGAATTTCTCAACTTTCACTTTTCATTAGAGGCCCTGCTCCCATCACCTCAATATATTCAAGCTCTGCTCCCGTCACCTGAATATATTTCACATTTAATTTACTTAGATATATCTAAGGCCTTCTCCCACCCCTTAGATATATCTCAAACGACATACACACACACCCCAAACACCACTGTTTTTATGATGCATATGTAATGCAGCGCAAACATCATTTATCTCTGGAGAATAATAATATAGATAATAACAATAATATTCCAGACTTAATCACATGCATAATAATATTCACTCAACGTCAAATAATATCCACGGAGAAACATCAACAATAATATTCACATAACATCAAATAGTATTCACCGAGCAACGCAACAATAATGTTCATATTTATAGTACTATATATAATCACCAAGATTAAAAGTGACATAGCCCAATCATCGGGAAATCAGGAAACCCTACCTCAAGTCCAACTAGCTTAACCTTGTGCGGTTTCGTCCTTGAAGGTACGCAGAGTAGAACACCTAGTTAAGATAATTTACTGATTAAAATTCATTAAAAATAAGGAAATAAATTTGAGTGTCCTACTAGCGCACGTAGATCTAAAACCCTATAAAACACTTGACAAGTTGTTTGACCCGATTGTTACTCCCTTAACCTCACATCCAAGCAAGCATAGAACCAAGCGTCAAGGAAAAACTAATCTATTCCCCTCCTATAATAGTTTTACTCTTTGGGATGTTTAAAATCAGGTGGTTCGGCTCTAGACTCATAAAGAAAATTTAAAACATCAATTTAAAACTAAAATTTCAGTTTTGCTAAACATTTGGGTTGGAACACGTTAACTTTGAAAATTCACTAAATATTGAGTTCAAATCAAAATAATGTAAAACTTTCAAAATCACAACTAGACATAGAAACATTAAAGATGTCAAAATTTGATAAAAATTAGGGTTAAGGAAGCATGTCAAAATAGAAACCAAAACAGACTAGGCTGAATAATGTTCTTTTTTTCAGGTTTGTACACTCTATTTTGAAAAATCACCAAAATTACAATTTACAACCAAACTGGATAAAAGGTTAAGGAAACAAGTCAAAATAGAAACCAAAAGCAGACTACGTTGCATAACGGTTTTTTTTCAGGTTTGTACACTTTATTTTGAAAAATCACCAAAATTACAATTTACAACCAAACTAGATAAAACTTTCCAAATCTGAAGAAAATACGAGAAAGTAAAACATACTAAAATTTCATGAAAATCCAAGTTTATGAAGTTTTCAAACACTTACTTCAAAACAGGGTATGCAGCAGAATCAAAATAATTCCAGCAGGATAGTCTCTACTAATGAAATTTCACAAAAATCAATTTAAATTCAAATGGCACAAAACCAACTTTGAAATAACCCTTGAGATGTTCATTTTGATGTAACAAAATCCCAAAATGAAATTGGAACAAAAATCACATCGAAATAATCTAGAACTTCACAAAAACACACTTCGAAAGATATATATATACTCGAGGCATTCTATTCAACCATTGGTTTAAAACTAGTACTCAAAGAGACAATAAAAAGATGAGCTTCATGCCTTCAAAGAATCATTTACTTGAGATGATAGTGGCTAATTTGAGCAATTGAATGATAATGAACAAGCCATTTGAGAGAAAGTACACATCAATAACAAGAAATTCAACATAATCAATGAACAAGTTTTGTTCATACCAATTTTTAGAGAGTTATAATGGTTTCGGTTGGATGATCTTTGGATATGTTAGAAAGAGGAGAATTTGGAGTAACTATCATGAAAAAACCATAGTGTTTTGAGCTTTTGAAATGAGTGTTTTGGACTGAAAACGAGGGAAGGAACTAAGATCGAAGACTATAAACAAGTTCCACTCTAAACGTTCCCAAGGTGGCTATAGAAGTCCAATCAATCTAAAATTTTGATATGTTATAATAGACAGCATTTCAAACAACTTTGATGAAGGAACCGAAGTCATTTGAGTACAGGAAATCACAGAAACAAACTGAAACCGAGCATACTGCTGTGAAATCAGGAAATGGTAAACTTATTGTGATCATACGAACGTTTCAGAGCCTATACTAGTCATATTGAGCTGAAATTTGAGTATGTTATAGGAATCACGTAAATGAACAACTTTTATGAAGAAAGTTTTCTCATTTGAGCTTCTGGAATTTGAGTTCTCGGCTGCTCCAAGGAAGTGACGAATTTTGGATTTTGAAGAGGAACAAAAGAAGAATAAGGATGAAACTAAGGTGAATGAAGAAGAAAGGGATGATACAATGAATGATGAGGATAAGAGTAAATTAATGATTGAAGAGCCTTAGGCTGGGTGAGTCATCAAGTTAAGAAAGAGTGATGATTCAATGAATGGGGAGGAAGAGAATAATTTCAAGATTTAAGAATCTTAATTAGGCTAGGTGACTCACCATTTTAGACTAGGTGACTCATCCTTTCATAAATGGTGGATATATAGGAAAACTTGAGGCAAGGGGGGAAGAATGAAGGAGGGAAGAAAGCTTTGGCTTACACGTTGCTTTCTCTTCTTTTCTTTGCCTACAAGGGTATTTTGGTAATTATCCACACAAAGGGGTATTTTGGTCAAGTTTGTCCAACTTGAAATTAAACATACTTGATTTAATAATCTCAATCCAAAATCTCTTGATAAAATACCCATAATCATTCTCCACCATTTTATTATTTTTCACTAAACTAGGAAAATCCACCTTGAATTTTTCGGGGTATTACATGAGTAGAGACGGATTGACCTAGCCCTATATAAGCTTAAGACCCTACTGTCATCAGACACTTTCTCTAAACCTAATCTCATCATAAAGAGAGAGTTGAAACAGGTTTTAAGAGAGAGCAAAAGTCTTGAGTTGTTCATGTCTTTTGCTAGAGTTACTATGTTGTTGCTGTTGCAATTGAATGAGTTCAAAGATTGTGTACTCAAGGAAGATGTCGTCAAGTATGTCTTCTATGTATTTCAAGTTGTGTGAAAGATCATGGACATTATATAGAAATCTAACACATTAGTTATGAATGCATCTGTGCTGTCCAAAGCGTTATCTGTTACGACACCACTGCTTCTTGTAGAAGTCTCTTGTAGCGGCTGCAAAATACATTTTGAGTTCTTAAAAGTTTTACCATGCGCCAGCTGATAGCTGATGGTTGACGGCTGAATTTAACTGTAAAAAGTTTGTGCCACAATGCTACACATTCGGCACAGAATTGCCTAACACAAGTCAGGTTCAGAATTCCGCAGCTCCCTGTTTGGTGGCTCCGGGTGAAACTGGTTTTAAAACATTCAGTACATGGAGTCTGAAACACTATGTCAAAGTGTGACTTCCAAGAACTGTAACAAATTTTAGTTCCGAGTTTATGAATTTTTTTCGCTCCCTCACTTCACTACTTGCAGAAACAAACACATACGTTTCGGTAACATGCTGTCGAAACTCAACCGTTCAGCCGGTCATCGGTCTCGGATTTTTCAAGTATAGTTCATAATAAAGATGATTAGGAGAAATTTTTAACGTTGCTCAAGTTTCTTTTTTGGATGGAGCAATGCTAGATATTTGCGCTTTCTTACTACATTATTTGACCACATCATGTGAAGGTGTAATTAACAGATGACTATTCCCAAAAGAAATAATTAACAGTTGTCATAATGATTGATGCAATAAGTACACAAGTGGTACATAATACATTATGTTGGAGAGCATACAGAGTGGAAAGAATTTCTCCGTTTCTGAATTAATTATCTTTTACAGTGTTCAAAGAAGAACAAAATAAATTACATAGATAAACTGAAAAAAGAAATCAGTCTAGGAAGGTTCTCAAGAGCCAACGTGAAAATTGCACCAAGTACAAAAATCAAAATGAAAGCTAATATTATTTTTCCAATGTACATAAAATTGATTTCTGGTTTCGATACCCTCTTTGCAACATGTAACTTGCCAGAACGCTACAAAAAAAAAAAAAAAAAAACAAAAAAAAAAAAACAGAAATATAAATTAATACAAGCTAAATTAACAATTGGTAAAGAGAAGTTTCAATCTTAGGAAAGGCCAATCTCACCCCCTCAAAGGCAATACATTACTGTAAATCAACAGATATACTTGTTAAAAACATTTTACATTGTAGATTTACTTTTCTTGGAACAAAAAGTTAAAAGGAAAATATTAATAGATCTAGAACAAAACCAACTCATTCCAATGTGCAAGCACATTTTTTTTTTTTTGGGTTCTAAGGGAGCCGAAGCTCAAAAACAAAACTACATAAACAAACTTCCGGGTCTAGCAACCCCACTCAAATCTTCCAGTAGATAAAGTCCAAAACCTTCAAGCACAATTTTTCACTCATGAACATCACAAACAAGTTCTCCATGAGGAGAAATGTAATAGTAGATTTCATGGCATCATGATTACTTAACCAGTTCAGACCAAAACAAAAACTTAATCAGTGTTGTCAAAGGCATTCAGTGAGACTTTGAGGCCTGGTGAGAAAACCATTTGTGGGTAAGAAGAGTTTACTAGAGCTTTTATCGCCTAAGCAAAAAGCATAGGAACATGAGGTACTTGCCTGATAAAGTTTGTGTGTTAATGCATGAGATGCAGTTGAAAATAGTCAGTGAAAATTAATAATTTATTAGATTGTAGCAGCCTAGCAGGTCTAACTCTAAAATGACTCAGTGTTGAAGTCAAAAGTCATGTAATCTACTTCTAAAATGAACTAAATTTGCTAATTAGACATTGCAATACTATCTTTAAGTATCTTCTGCACTAAAAGAACATGTTTACTTAAAGTTTTGCAATTTTATGTTAAAATTCTATGTTTCTATGCTGGCATTTTCCTATCCAAACTTGTGTTGTTAGTATAGTGTCTCCAGTCATGTTGTGAAGAAGTCTACAGGAGAAGCTCCGTGAAGGTTTTCAAGTATTGGTGAACACAAGCCTAGTGATTTATATTCATATTGAAGCCTCAAAGTATAGCAATCTTATCTTACATATTCAGGAAGGTAACAGTTATTTAGAGACCTAAAATTTATACAAACTAGGTAGTAAAACCGTTAAAACATGTTTATGAACATGTTTCGCAGGATATTTTTTCTGCATAAGTCACTTGAGAAAGTTCCCAATTTTCAACTAATGTCGTCAATAACTTTTTAACACTGCACCGAGAAGTGGCTAGCTCAGTTTGTATTGACCTAGTCTGCTTTTACTATTGAAAGCCTTCTTCCAATGGATGATTTCTGGAACATAAACAAGATGCTCCTAGAAGAATTTTCCTGTAATGAACTCAGTTCTTGCATTTAAATTTTGCTCTGTGACTAATGAACTTTTAAGATGCTTCTAAATCTTCCTTTTTCTTTATTTTTATTATTATTACTATTTTTTGCTTGTTCACGATCGCAGTTCCAAGCATTTTCTTAGAACAACCAAATAGCAGTTCATTACTGTTATAAATGCTCCATAAAAGAATTTTCACACTGCATCTCCTTCCTTGTATTATTTATTTAGGTTTCCTAAGCAACTTCGATGACACTACTGAGCTTGAATTCAAGAGTCAAAACTAATTCGTGGAGATATATCGATTTATCGCTAGACTCCTTGAGACATTCCTTATGACCACTCTAATTTTTTCCTTCCTAATGAGCCCTGGAAATTGAGCTTCCAAATAAGACCCACTGGAACTGTCTAAGGAATATATCTAATCTTGGTTTTAGTCCCATGTTTTCTTCCTATGAAATGTCTATCTTGACTAGAAAATTCCATAAAGTCATTAATCAAAATAAGAAATTGACTGAATCCATTCATCATTCAATTTTGATTTGCTTTCTTGGTAAGAAAACATTTTCCTTTAGGAACCACTACAAACAAATGTGCAGTTCAAACTCATCTATGCTTTAAATCTCAAAACAAAATTCTCAACCTACTAAACTTACACAAACAAAACATATATAAAACTTTACCATTACACCAGGAAGTGGCATTGCCATTGGCCTTCCAACCCCTTGTCCACCTCCAATGCCTATACTTGAACAAAACCCAAAATTCATTACAACTTACAATTCAACCATTTTTAACAAAACCCAATAAAATAACTAAATTTGATTTCAATGATTAAACAACCAATTACCAGAAGAATCCACTTGGGAAACGGTCTGTAACCTCCAGCCATTGCCATAATCGACGAGAGCCGAGCTGGGTCCAAAACTGATGGGCTCTTCTCCTTCTTTAAAGGCTTCAATATGCGCAGCAAGTGGGTCCCCCAAACCCAATTTCTTGTTTATCAGTGAGACTGCAAAACCTGCCTCTGTCCCCCTCGCGAAGCGGCGTTTCATGCCTGAACTCTGACATTTGACCTCCAGAAACTATCGAAAATTCAAATGATCAGATTCTCATAAAAATTCGATCGAATTATGTAATATCTATACCTATAACGAGAGAGAGAGACTACCGGAGGAGGACTTGGAGCTTCTGCTTCGTCCATTAAAGAGAGGGCAATTGTTTGCAACTGAAAGCAGGTAACTTCACAGAGGGGTTCAACTGAAAGCAGGTAATTTGTAAAGCAAGATAATGAGACGACTATAAGAGCAACTCCACCCATTTGCCTTTAGCCATGGCAAGGGGGAGTTAGGGCAGCCACTATTCACATGAATAGTAGTTACCCTTGCAAATAGTATTTTTCGTTTCCATCCGTTGCCATAGCAAAGGGCAATTACTATTCATTTTTTAATTTTTTTCACAACTTTTTTTACCTCAATAATTAATTTGGATAATATTTTCGGATAAGATTTTCGGGTTCCTACGTGTCAATACTATTCATATCTCATAATCGGATAAAATTTTCAATTTCAAATTTTAGATAAATTAAAAAAAAAAAGGCTGGTATTTATAGAAAAAAATTCATTAATTTTTGGGTATTTTTTAAAAAAATTTCCGAATTTTTTCCAGTATTTTATTGCAAAAAATTTTGATGCCGTTGGATTGGAGGAAAAAATCAGATCGGAGAGCCCAAACGATGCCACATGGCAACAGAAAAAAAATCAAATGAGTGGGCTGACGCTAGCCTGACGTCAGCACCAGCCTGCGTTTTGGACCTCGGGCTGAACTGGCCTTCTGGCCAGCCCGAGTTGCGTGGGACCCACTCCAGCCTGTGCTTGGGCTCACCGTTGGAAACCAATTTTTGCAAAAAACTCCCCCAGCCCGAGGCAAGGGGGTCTCGGTGGAACTGCTCTAATGGTGTTCAGATTTTAATTTGGCCTAACATTATAAATAGTACAGATATTCTATACAAATGTTCGATACATGAGTTTCTAGCGTGGTAGGTTGTCATTCAGTTTATTTTTCTTCTTAGTTTTACATTAATACCCTTAGCCATTCTGGTCATTTTCTCTTTCAATTTTATGCGTGATGTGTCATTTTTTTTTCTCTCTAAAGTATTTGACACCATATCTTAAGGGCCGGACATTATAATAGTAAAAATAAAGATTATGGGCCAGATTCCAATTCAAATTACCCTATTATTACTGGGGTTAAAATTGTCAGATAAAACAGTAAGCCAAAACAAAAGAATACACGGCGTTGCTTTGTTCCAGCAGTTGCACAACGTTGCAGTCACTGAAGTAGTTCTCCATTTCCCCGCTAGAAGCGAAGCAACCAGTTTCCCGGCCATTCTTTCTCCTCCATTTTCAATTTCTACTCAGATACAGTTCTCAAAGAACGTTGCGGTTTCATTTGAAAAGTCATAGCATGGCAATCTTTTACCATTTCAGAGTTTTGACGGATGTCTAAGGACCTTATCAAGTTTCAGCTTTACGGGCACTCTCTTGAGGTTGGGATTTGTAACCCCCAATGTCTAATTGGATAGTGGGGGTGTTTTTTTTTGGGTGTAAATATTTATATCTTATTACTATGAATATTTTTACTTCGTGTTTAGGTTTGATTCTTTTTGGGTAAAATTCTTCATTTCGATCGACAACCTCAACAGGGTAGGTGAAGGGGAGGAGCCTGAGCTTGAGACAGGCGTCCCATTTGGTTTGTTATCTTCAATACCTTCTGGTTTTGCTTCTTCTTTTACTTCTCTGTTTGTTTCTGATTGCTTTTTGTTTCACTTCTTTGTTTGTGACTGTGAGTAAGGATCCATTGAAATTATTACCTTTTATCTAACTCTGATGCGCTGCCACAGTTACAAGTTTACAAGAAATTATTAAACATCCAGAGAGAGATAAAGGATGAGCTTAATATTGTTTAATTTTCTGTGTAAGGGTTTTGATTTTACTAATAACTGCATACTGTAATAATAGGAGCCAATGAATGAACTTAAAGCCTTAAACTTGTTTTCCGAAGTTCTTTGTCATTCCTTCCTAACATAGTCCAATAAATTGCCCTGAAATTATCCTTTTGTCTATTTAATGGTTTTCCTTCTCTTTGGACATGCCATTGAACACAAGATTTTCTTAATGTTTACTTTCTCTTTGTTTGCAGATATGCTGACAGTAGTGAATATCAAGTGACATCTGGCACTCTTCAAACATGTCATGGTCAAGGGTTTGTAAAAGAGCCCTTCCCCTCTCCCCTTACTTCAAGAACCCACAGCATATCACATGTGAATCCAGACACGTTGCTTGCTTACAAAATGTTGTTAGAGCAGAAAACTTGGTGAATTCCATCTACCTTTGGCATGAAAGTTGAATGTTTGTTGTTGATGAATGATGATTCAGGTGCATACCCAGTTATAATTTCATTGGAGGTTGTAGTACTAGTAGTAGTGCATATCAGAGGCATTTTAGCCATGGTAGTCCTATTTGGCGCTTCAAGCTAGGCTCATTTGACAATTGCGGTCAGCTTCCTCCATTTGCTTCTCAATCTTTGTTGAGAATCCAGCGGCCCTATTCTGCTCAGGCTACCACACAACAGAAATCACGCAAGATGCTGTTGTACCTTACGGGTTTGGTGTTTGCAATGGCGGCAAGCAGTTATGCAGCTGTTCCTTTCTACAGAAGATTCTGCCAAGCTACTGGATATGGAGGCACTGTCCAACCTCGTGAGGTCTGAATCTCTTATGTCATTTGGGCTTTAATGTTTGTTTGTTTTTCCTCAATTTGATTGATTACAACATGCCTTTGCGGTTTTGCTTTCCGTAGAGTTTTGAGCAGAAGATTGCTCGGCATGGTAAGGATGGCACGGTCACTACAAGGTCTGCTTTCTGCTTCTATAGTAGCTTGTCCTCTTCTTATGTTTGCACAGTTAATTAAATCGTTATTTGTTATTCTGTTGTTGATTTTTCCTCCCCACCACTAGCCTAAGATATAAATAAATGAATGTTTGCTAGGTGACAACCCCTGTCCTAATTATACGCTACTTCCACTCAACTTCAAAAGTTTTTATGTGAACCTTTGTTTTGTTTCTATCTTATGAAAACCTTATTCTTATACTAGTTTTTTTCTTTCTGAAAAGATGTTATTCTCCAATATGTATCATTCTATGACTTGGATTAAAGGAAGATCCGAGTATTAATATTTCCATATGATGTCCTCCTGCAGGGAGATTGTGGTTCAGTTCAATGCTGATGTGGCTGATGGAATGCAATGGAAGTTTATTCCTACACAAAGAGAGGTTTTTCTCATACAATATGTTTATTTATTGGGTCAATTTCAGTTTAGTACTCTGAACTTTCACCCAAATGGCATGTGACCACTCCAACCCCAACACTACCTTAAACCACAACCCATATAACCGTCAGCCAAATTCAAACCCCAACCCCTCTGTCTGGATGATTCCTTGATTTGGTTGAATAAAAAAATTTGAAACGTTCATCCTCAACTGATCCCAAATTCCCTAAGCCAAAACAAAAGGCTTATCCCAAATTTTCTTCGTGGTAGTGGATCATGAAAACACCACCATCCCCATTTTTTTCAATAAAAACAAGAGTGAGATCCATATTTTCTGATCCAGTCGATGGTGTGCGGGAGGCCAAATCTTCTTATTGTGGCAGAAGGAGGGGGGGGGTCAGTGCTAAGAAGATGGGAGTGGGGGGGCAGGATGGGGGTGAGGGGGTTGGAGTGGTGGTGGTTGTAGTCCAAGGGTAGAATTAGGGGAGGAGGAGAACCATTCGAGTAAACATTCAGGGTACTAAACTGAAATTGATCATTATTTATTCGTAATGTGCATTATTGTTCTTGCTACAATTTTGATGCTTTACTTAACATTCTTGCCGTCGTTATGTTAACTCGCAATTGTACGGGCCAATTAGTAGTATATCAAGACAAGTATGAGGTCATACCCACAAGGACAGAGAAGTTAAACTTAGTTATGTACTTAGATTACCGGATTCAAGAAAGTAAGAAGTTAAATCTAAAACAGAATTTAAAGCGAGAGTGATTGTGATTGTCAAACAAATGAAGCAAAATGAAATTAAAAACAAAAGCTAAGTGAGCAATTCCAACAAAGAGTGGTTTTGAAGCTTGAAAAACAGATTTGGAGATGAGGGCATTCGATTCACCATAACAATTCAATTCTAGGTTTAAGGATTCAAGTGACAAGTCTAATTCAGATTCAAAGATTGATTCTAGCTAAAGTATGATTAAGTCATGGTGTCTGGTCCTAACCTTGTATTCCTAATTCCCTACTTGATCATCTGTTGTCTAACCTAAAATTAAGCATTAGAAATCCATTAAGCATAGAAGAATGTTTTAAACAATCAAGCATGTATCTAATCCCTGTTGTCGAATGTCCATACATACTCTTCTTATTCATAGTTCAATTCGAATTAAGCATGGTGTCTACTCTTAATTCAAACCAAGATAGCTAACATACAAGTTTTAATGGTAATCAATCATTTAAACAAGTGTATTAACTTATAAGCATAATGAATATGAATAAGAACAAGAATCATGAATCAAACATGAAACTTGAACTCATAATGGGAAAGAAACTTAGATAGAAATGAGAAAACATAATAAATGCAATAAGAGTAGAAAAATCCTTTTATGAAATTCTTGTGGTGTCCAATGCTTCTCCAAGTGCTAGTCCACGTCTAATACTTTTCAAAGAGCTTCCCCACGTCTAGAAGGATGTATGAAGTTTAAGGGGGTGATTTAGGATGAGTTTGGGTGAGTGGTGATGGCTGAGAAAGAGGAAATTCGTAGGGAAATGGAAGGAAGGCTTGCTGGAACTGTTTTGGTGATTTGGGGCTGTTTAGAGTGTTTGGTTGATTGCTGGAGTGTTTGGGGATGAATGGAGTGATTTGTGGGATTGTAAATCCCAGGATGTTTGTATGAATAATGGATGAAATGAATGTATCTCCGTTTATAGAGTGCCAAATTCGTCCTCCCTTTTGGCTGGTGAAGCACACCTCTCTTAGTTGCTACCTAACTGTCTCAGCTGCCCAATAAATGCCAACTACTCCAGTTGCCCAATAAATGCTTATGGTGGACTATTCTTGGTCTCTTCATGGCAAGCTTGACTTTTGTTCATCTTTCTGAGTTCCCAAGCTAATTTGTCTCCCATATCTAGCTGCTCTTAAGTGTAGCACATGGCTCTAGAGATGTAGCCACATTAAATGTGATGGTAGCCAACTATGACTTTTCTGTGAACTTGGTTGGGTCTTTGACGTGCTGAGAGCTCCAGATTTATCCAATGAGGTTAAAATTTGGATATGAATTGGAACAACTTCTATCAAGGATGTCTCCTCATCCAAGCTGTGTACGTTGCTGAAATGAGGCCTACAAGATGACCTACGAAACTGGACTGACAAGGAGTGTGGCCCAAATTGGGTCTGTCATTAAGCTCATATTCATATCATCCCAATCAGCCCAAAACGTGCATGGATAGCATAAATGTGATCTCTTGCTATCTTAACTAACAAATCTCACTAGAAATCATAGCTCATGCATATCTCATCATGACTAAGTAACAATGATATCATCCTTAGGTCAGCATGTCTAGCTATTTCATGGGCTCATGAATTGGGCTTCCCTTAAGCAATTGATGACTTTGAGTCGTCCATTTTGAAGTTTAGAATGTGATTGTTCCAACCACATGTCATTTGGGCCAATCCAAGGTTGGATGAAGATGTTAAGGCCGAAATGAATTGCTAACTCAGTCTGCACGTTTTTGCACCAGTTTGCATCTTTCTTATCCAAAGCCATTATTGCTACCTAATACTCAAATAACTGAATGATAAACACAAAAGAGATTAAAAGCACAAGTTTAACTAAAAAACATAACAAAAACATAAGCTAGAAGGGTACAAAATGATATACAATTATGAATCGATCAAATACCCACAGACCTAGATTTTGCTAGTCTTCGAGCAAAACAAAACAAACAAATAATGGACGACTCAAAGTCATTAATTGCTTAAGGGAAGCCCAAGTCGTGAGCCCATGAAATAGCTAGACATGCTGACCTAAGGATGATATGATTGTTACTTGGTCATGATGAGATATGCATGAGCTATGATTTCTAGTGGGATTTGTTGGTTAAGATAGCAAGAGATCACATTGATGCTATCCATGCACGTTTTGGGCTGATTGGGATAAGAGGAATATGAGCTTAATGACAGACCCAATTTGGGCCACACTCCTTGTCAGTCCAGTTTCGTAGGTCATCTTGCAGGCCTCATTTTAGCAACCTACACAGCTTGGATGAGGAGACATCCTTGATAGAAATTGTTCCAATGCGTGTCTATTATAACATATCCAAATTTCAGCCCCATTGGATAAATCTGGAGCCCTCAGCACGTCAAAGACACAACCAAGTTCACAGAAAAGTCATAGTTGGCTGCCATCACATTTAATGTGGCTACATCTCTGGAGCCCTGTGCACATGGGAGACAAATCAGCTTGGGAACTCAGAAAGATGAACAAAAGTCAAGCTTGCCATGAAGAGACCAAGAATAATCCACCATAAGCATTTATTGGGCAGCTGGAGCAGTTGGCATTTATTGGGCAGCTGAGACAGTTAGGCAGCAGCTAAGAGAGGTGTGCTTCACCAGCCAAAAGGGAGGACGAATTTGGCACTTTGTAAATGGAGATACATTCATTTCATCCATTACTCATACACACATCCTAGGATTCACAATCCCACAAATCACTCCATCCATCCCCAAACACTCCAGCAATCAACCCAACACTCTAAATAGCCTCAAATTACCAAAACTGTTCTAGCAAGCTTTCCTTCCATTTCCCTTCGAATTTCCTCTTTCTCAGCCATCATCACTCACCCAAACTCATCCCAAATCTTCCCCTTAACCTTCATACATCCTTTTAGACGCGGGGAAGCTCTGGGAGAAGTATTAGACGTGGAGAAACACTTGGAGAAGCATTGGACACCACAAGAACTTCATAAAAGGGTTTTTTTTTTTTTTTTTTTAACTCTTATTGCATTCATTATGTTTTCTCATTTTTGTCTAAGTTTCTTTCCCATTAAGAGCAGCTAAATCCATAACTAGGTCTTCGATATAACCTAACATGAATATTCTGGGTTTATAAATTTCAAGTTTCAAAGAGGGTTAGAGTCTTAACCAAAGAGGGTTAGCAAGTACACGATATAATATTTCATAAATGAGAGTGTTATTTTTGTGGCCATTACACCAAGTGAACGGAATACCAGAGGCAGTCAAGGAAAAAACTTCACAATCATGAATGAATTGATTAAAATCCATCATAGCTTGAGAAACAGTTTGAGTACCCTCAATCTTTTCTTGGAGAGAACAAATATTATTGAAGTCACCTAATAAAAGCCAAGGTTCAAGGTTTATTGGTTTTAGCCTAGGTATTTCAATCCACATCGATTTCTGTTTTGCTTTTTGAGGATATGCATAAACAAAGGTGGCTGGCAAACTATTAACGGCATCTAAATCTTGCATAGAACAATGGATATAATGCTCATTGTAATTCAAAATACTAATATATAAAATAGCAGGATTCCACATCAAGAAAATACCCCCACATTGGCCAATGAAGGGTACGCAAAAACTATTGTTAAAACCTAGCCTCTGGACCAAGTGGTCAGCTTTGGCCTTAGAAGCTTTAGAATCCACAACACAAAATAAGTCTACATTTAAAGTACTAATATAGAAAAGACATTGCAAAATAAAACCTTGCCAAGCACTGCCTCGACTATTCCCAACTGGAAGCTTCAGGAGGGGATGGATGTATCATCAAAGGGAATAGCATGGTTTGAGACACCTAGAATCTCCACACTTGGCTCAGATTCTTCTTGCTCTTCCTTAGGTTCTTCACAAACTCTCTTCTTGGGACTTTTGAAAGCAAGAATAGCAGGGCTATTCACTTCCAAGGAAGGGCTTGGCTCAAACATTGGAGCTTTGCCCTTACCATTACCCTCAGCACTAGTCACCTCCTTAAAAGACCTATCGTCTCTTATAGTCATCTTGGCTTTTCCTCTTTTATTGGACACCACAGTCCAACCTGGATCTGGCACCTCATGTTTCTACACACTCTCATCCTCATTTTCACCCTCCACATTAGCATGATGGATATCGTCAATGGTATTGTTATGTCAATTTTACCCTTTGAGGTAAATAAGGAAAACACATTGAAAATCTAAATTTAATACATTATTTCCTTGTAATTGAATTCCATAATTTAAATTTTGAATTCTTTCCTTCATAATATTCCTAATATATGGACAAAATACAATTTAATCAATACAAAGTAAAGACCCACAAATTATACCAATACAAGCACCCACATTAAATTATATACCTGACATACAAGTAAATAGTGTTATTATTAGTAACGAAAAATACTTAGTGATAAATCATGTTACCTATAAGTTAGGAACATAAATTAGAAAACTACCTATAAGTCAGATAAAAAAATAGAAAACTACCTATATCTGCGGTACATAAAAAAGATAAATGGTAAATCGTATGTTACCTATAACTTAGATTCATAAACAAAAAGGCAAAAAAGTGTGGTACCTATATCTCATGTATGTCAAAACACAAGTCAATTAATAACTTTTTTTTTGTTAAAGGAATATGTTACCTATAATTTAGATATATATATGAAGAAAAATAATATATCAAAAAATGTATTACGTACCTATGTCTCTGGTATACTATACATAAAAGAACAACTAAAAAGAACAAAATAACTGAACCTGATTAAAAGTTGAGCATATATTCAACATAAAATAATAATAATAAGATTACCTCATTAAGAGTTGTTGGATGAGGAAAGAAATATAATATTGGCTAATTATCTCATTAAGGTAAGTAATCGAAGATAATGGGCAAGGGTAAATTGGATAAGGAAAGAAATATAATATTGG